ATTGTTATTTATATTGTGATGATAAATTTAAAAAGCATTTTGAAGAAATAGTATCATATTGATCAGCAGTTGATTTTTTTAGAAGTGGCAGTTGTTCTTGAAGCTGTTCCTTCTGGTCGTCTTGTTCACGTTTCTTTATTGCATCTGTAAGATAAAGTTATTCAAGACAATCACTTGAAATGCGTGAAAATTCGACTTCTCAATTGTCATACAACTGATTTGTTTAGTTATTCTAGCTTTTCTGAATTTCTTCTTATATACATACCTCGAATATTTGCGGTTGCCGCTGAAAAAATCGAAATTCAGTCAAATGTGTTGAACAGACTGACGCACATATCTACATACTTTTTCTATCTAGCGGATGTTCATATTCAAACTTGTTTTTTGCACCCGTATTTGTTTGCATTTCATTTGAACTCTGGTAGAGAAAAAATAATTCTTTGCTCATCAAGTTTGAATAAGATAACTTACAACTGTTTGTTGTGCTCCAGCATCCTCAGCCATTTTTGTAACGATTTTTTTTGCTGCTTCCACCGTTTCTTTTTTCTCAGATTCTGCCTTGATTTCCTCAGCGGATTTTAAAGTTCGTATATTGTCTTCACCCAAATCGACTAGTCTGTAAACAGAAGTGTCATCCACATGTACATCAAAAACTTGCACTAATTTGCTAACCGCATGATGTCATCGTCCCATCTTCCAAAGCAAAGATCAATTCCTCCAACAAACGCAATTTTCTGATCGATAATCACGCACTTTTCATGATGCGACCACAGTAACTCTATACCTTTGGTAAGAACATGACGAGGATGACGAATTATCTAAAATAAGTAGAAAATTTACCACAAGCAACCTACTTGTACGTTTCCTACCTTAATATTCTGTTTATTTTTTGATTTCAACACTCTTTCGGTATGTAAACTATTTAAACCCATGGCTAGCTTCATTTCACGATAAACCATTACAAATATTCGTACACCTTCGTCCTACAAAACACAGATGGTTCTTATGACGGGCTATGGAGCATCGATCAGTATTATAGTCACGTTTTCCATTATAGTTGTGTTTTCTCACCCACACCCTCACCCACACACAGGCAGACACACCCATTTTTCGGGCACTTCAAGCAAATTTTATACCATACCATAGCTGAAAATCAACATCTCGTTTTGAAGAGGACACACTGGAATGTCAATCCAAGAAAAATAATCAATATAGTCCTACTGGAAGTTTCTGAAACACAACCAAGTTTTCCGACGAATTCCTAGAAATCTATTTCTAGGAACCCTTCTGAAGTGATTCCTGCCTATGGAAACATGCTTCCAAGTTTTTATTCTTAATGGTGAAAATCGTAACTTCTCTTCAGAAGTAATTAAAAACGTCTGTGTTTATTCCATGTTCTGAAAAGGATAATTTCGTACTTTTCATCTGTAATACCTTACATCATTTACCAGGTCATTTTCCTCTGATATAATGGCCTTGGCCGCATCTGTGTAAAATGGCTATTCTTATTTCTCTTTCTTGAATGAATAAAGTTTAAACTAAACTAACGGATAATAGTAATGAATTTTTTACTTCTGGTGAAAACAGCAGAAAATGAGTTGTCTTCACGTACAAGTATGTAAGTTTTTCTAGGTTCATACTTTTTTCAAGAAAAAAAATGTGACACGAGATTCAGCTTGGCCGGTTACCTATATTCCATCTAATTTCCAGACCACCAAGGGTCTCTGGAATATCACCTCATTACCCAATAGTTTAACATAGCAATATATTAGTTTTGTGAAAACTTCCAAGAACTAGTCTGATTTTCAAAGGATATGGGATTTTGAGGTTCTAAAGAGAGATCCTCGAAGTAAAAATGGGTCGGTCAGAACTCTAGATATGATTTCCCTTCCCATGGTGTTTACGTCGTCTTAATTTTCTGCATGATGTGTGTTTACATCGGCTGAAATACGTGGTTACAAGTTCTTAATTTGATGAGTTAGTGGTGGAGGTCGTAGTGGTTACTGAATGCCGTTGTTCTAATAGTAGTAGCTACCGCCTCATCTATTTACTTATACCAGAGGGAGGGAAACCATATCTCGACCTCTCTTTTGAACCTCAAAATCCCATATCCTTTGGAAATCGAAATAATTCTTAGAAGTTTTTACAAAACTAATATATTACTATGTTAAACTGTCGGATAATGAGGAACGGTTAATAAGAAAACCTGTATTTGAATCAAATAACATAAAAAACTTCTTATTTCAGAAAACATAACATGCTAATTGTTGGCTATTGATTGGCGACAACCACAAGTGCCTACTATCTTTTGTTCAGAACAACATCCATGGCTCTTATGATTTAAAACAATAATAGTTGATTCGTATCTTGATGCCCATTTTTCCAGGAACTGGACAGTTTTCTCCCAGCTGGGTGGAACTGGAAATATCGCAAATAAATACTCTTTCTGCTTACCGAGATCAACTTGTGACTTTCGTCAAGAGTGATACTATCAGTCCTGTTTCAACGGTTTCGCAGTGGTTTAAAACCTTTTGACGAATTTTTCTTTTAATTAGAATTTGATACGCTACTATTAAACGCAAGATTTGACGGAGAACATGACTGTAACACTGAAAGATGCTCAGTGTAATTACACACCAAGCTTCTGTGAAATATATATTTAGTATTTTCAAGTAACTTACTGCTTTTTTTCCAAGCAGATTATCTAATCGATGCAATGGATTATCCGATGGTCTCACGAGCATCAGTTCTGGAGATAACCACCAGTCCGTGATAAATATTTCCTCTTTTGCATTCGAGATGGCTTTAGCTACTGATTCCATATAACCTTTAGCATTCACAAACCTGTAAAGACAGACTCGATCAACAGTCAGCTGACTGAGCCAATATACTGCCATAAATAACTTACCAATATCCTAACTGACCGGTTCTCGTCGGCACAAAAGAATCGAATTGATTTCGTGCTAAAGTATTACTCAAACCGGCGATCGAACATCTATCACGTAGTAACTCCAATTGTTTTAACCATAGTTCTTTTATAGTATTACTTTTACATTTAAGAACAAGTGGACGCTGTAGATTGGTTATTTTGATCGTATGCGTTGTACCAGTACGTTTTAGACCAGTTTCAATCGTGAAACCCTGATCAACTAACATGGGAAAGCGAATCTCATTCGTCAATGCATTGATATACGTCACATAAGTGTCCTTGATAACAAGCCAACTATGCATACAAAAATATCCATTTAGTTTGAAAAATGAGTCCGAGAAAAATCACAAATATCACAAAAGAAGTGCGAGGAGCGCAGACAATTATGTAGTGTAATACTTGCAAACAGCGTTTAAACAAACAGAAATATCTCTTATTCCGTTTCTCTTTTTCATGGTGAACAGACGTTTTTTATGTAAGAAGAAGAGAATGCATCCAGTGTAATTGTTTAAGGGCTTTTGTTTCAGACAGACATGAAAGCTGCCCAGTCAAAAAAAATATCAAGAGGAGTATCATGGAACACTCTTTTTGGAAAAAAAAGAAAGGTGCATTCCAACTCAAAAGG